AAATTCTAATTGTAGTCCATAATTAATTAGTTCGCCGAATACCAAAGAAACCATATGTATGTAAGCAGAAAAGACAGAACAATGACAATAGGCAAACAAATGACCGAAATCGTCTTCACCTCGTTGTCTTGAGATCTAATTGCGTCATTTCTAATCAAAAGACGAACACTGAATTTAATGCTGAACGTCTTCTTCAAATTATGCTGGGCAATCTCTAGAAGTGTACACTATTCTGCAGTAGGATACAGTACCGTATCTACTATGAGCGAGTGGTCAGAAGAAGATCTTTCCGAGGAGTTTTGAAAGTCCTTATACGCAAGATTGAAGCAATAGATCTTTTAAGAGCACAACTTGCTTTCGATCGGTAAAGGAGACTGTGCATTAGGCACAAAACTCTGGATTAGGGGACATGTGACCTCGTTACAGGAGGATATGGAATGAAGGTTCTACTTTTCGCCCATCCTGGAGAAGTACAGTGGGCGTCATAACCAGAGGAAAGAATGAATTATTTCAAATATTTTCAAAAAACACTACATGCATATTTCTGTAATGTTCCCCTCCGGTGGAGATCGTACACGATGTGTAGAACACCTTGTGGACCTTCGTTATCTTACAGGAAACAAATTTAAGGAGGTTTGCGATTGAAAACATACCCGTTTTCTTTGTTTTGCTTGAAGCTGCATTTTTCGGGTAGAAGTAAGGGCACCGATTTTTGTTAAAGGATAAAGGTAAAATCTCGGGTGATAATCAGTCCCGCTATGGGAGTGCGCCCCGCATACCGCCTCTTTCCAGGATAGCGGCGTATTGAATGCGAATGTGGCCTACACAGTGACTTGCTATGGCCAGCCGATGTAAAAATCAAAGACGAGTCTGGTACTAATGAATGTGGGCGCCTTATAAATGGGAAGGATATTTTTCCTGGGCGTATACCGATCCTTTGTGACTATTTGTGTGTGATAGTGCCACTTGCCACTATACCACCTTTGCCCAACTAATTTCACTAGCATTTATGAAGCTCTTCTTCTCAAGAGCTCTATTCATTTATCAATGAAAATGATGAGAAGACCTCATACCAAAGCCTACAAAATAGGGGTTCCATCCAATGGAAACTTCGAAGCCGTTCAGGCATTCTTTTGCCCTATTCCCTTTCTTCTAGGTGCTTCCTCAACCTCTGTGCTGAACCATCTGTCATTCATTTTATGGAACTAAATACATATCTTACTATAAGTTTCTGCAAAAACGAGAAGTTGCTCGGAGAAAGGCTAAAGCCAGTAAATGAATGTCAAACATCGGGAACTACGGGAGCTCAAGTCTGCAGTGGTCAACATAAAACACCTTCTATTGATGAACAATTGGAACAAGCAGATGTATAGTAAAGTCAGAATACATTATTGCAACAATACCAGAACCCAAAATTCTTGTCATCCCCACTTTGAAAAGTTACTCAAAGCTGTTCTAGATGAAATATGGTACGGTTGCTCCAGCTCATGCATTACAGTGTTTCTGCAGCGAAATCACTTTCAAAGCTATACCAAGCTATATCACAATTTCTCAGGAACGTAGAGAGAGAATTGGGTGGGCAAATCGAGGCCTGCTGATATAGGAGAAAACACCGCTCCTGGACGAACTCCTTTTTTGCTAAACTCAATCCTCGGAAATCAAGAACTAAGTCAGAAGATGTCTTGATCGGTGACCTAGGACCAAGTTTGACGACCACAATTTAGGGAGCAGGAAAAGTCATAGCCACATGAGCAATAAGCTTTTTTTTGGGAAGCTGTGAGAAAGGCGGAATCCTTAATTTGGAATTTCGGCTAGCTTTGGGTGAGGGCAGCCCTTTGGTGGGATCGTCCCACTTTCGAGCAACCATCGTTTAGCCCAACATAATAGAACTGGCAAACGTGGTATGGCAACTATAATAGAACTACAACATGTATATGCTAGCTCTCAAAGTGTTCGTGCTTCAGTTTCGAGATAGGTATTGGAGATGAATGGAATGATGAGTTCATGAGAAGCGGAGGGGGGGGGGTTTGCAGTCGGTCGGCGAGGGCTTGTAGCATCAGGGCGAAAAAGCGGGCCACAGAAGGAACGGTGCAATGAATATGTACTAGCCCGATTGAGCGTATCACGAAAGCTCACTTGACGTCACAAAAGCGAGGATTGGGGAGTAAGAAGATGGAGCTGGAAATTTTGAAGTTTTGGTTTCGAAATTGTTCAACAGCTGCTACCTTTGACCAGGAGGCAGCGTCGTCTTTGTACCGATGAGCATTGGAGGACTGAAACTTAACAATTTCTAACCTACCCTGCCACTCAGAAAAGGAACTGAAGAGGTGGTTCATGCTTAACGACGAACTACGGAATCTGCACTTCAAAAGTTGTCATGACTGTGTTTTCATGCACTAAAGTCCATGAGCCGACTTCCTATCCAAGTACAAGTGGCGATGTTGTTAACATGAGAAACTCGAGAAGGAAAGTTCAACTATGCGACAAGAAACTGGTGGCAGCTTCAACGGATGCAGCTCACGATGAGCAAAAGAGTTGCCTCCTTGAAATGTTTATTCTTTGGTGGGTAATGCCGGCGGGTGGCGCCCCAGATTCCCAGTGGCCGTCTAGCCATCCGCCAACCTCGTTATGCAACAATGCTACCAGTTAGACTCTTGGAAGATAGTTATAGCCTTATGTACCAAGCCAGCGAGACGCAGTCTGTGTTAAAGTGTCGGTTTCAGGGTATTCATATTTTGATGCACCCTCTCCCGACATAAAGGGCAACGGAACTAGAAAGACACGACATTCAAAGACCAGACATTCAGAGAAGTGCATGGCTTTCTTATATGATGTTCTTCTGCCGGATGAATGCCATCAAACTGAGAAGATTCTATAGTATTAGTAAAGTCAATTAATGCTAGTGCAGTTACACGAAAATAAGTTCGTAGTTCTCGTTTGTTAAGGCACAAACCACGATAATTTTAAGGTATCCGTTTTTGTTCAAAAAGCGGAAGTATAGAGAGGGAATAGTTTATCGGTAGTGAAAAAAGCGAGAGAATTCGCCGATTTTGAGAAAAATAGGCTCCTCAAAAGTAGGGAAAATAGGGGTTGGACGACGGAAATAACATGGAAGAGGTATTCGGACGAGCTTTCAACAATTTCAGTTGCACAGAGAACTGACTACATCCTTTTTCTGCCTTCCATATTCTCAAATTCACCCTGTAATCCTTAGAAACCATTTTTATCGTGAACTGTGCCTTTAACATCTGGGACAGATCTTCTTGGTATAGTGTTTGCCCTAAAAGAGTTAGTACAGGTGTTAAATTTTCTTCGGAACGATTTGACCTCGACTTACATCTTGGATTAAACAAGGAACCCCATATACATGTTTTGTAAATACAGGAGGCATAAGTTTACCGGTGCAAGAATCGTGACATACTGGGCAGACTTCTTTGCTACATTAGTGAATCTTCCGATGTTCCTTCCTCGATGACAAAGAGTCGTCCGGTGTCAGCTTTGTGAGCAGTTACCTGCCCAGGGTCATTTAATCATTTTTTCCTGAGCTTGAACTAAAGTGGGTTCTCAATGAAGAAGGAGATTGAGATCCACATAAACGTACGTTTTTCCAGTTTTGCCGTATATCCCGAAACGATTGGTCGCGCATTAGAGAGCCTCTTCAGGCCATAGAGCCGAAGTCCCTCATGAGTAGTAACCAAACCAAATTGCCTTACTTCACTACGATTCAGGAATCAGACTTCTGACTCGCAAATCTTAATCCACTCAAATTCAACTGAGGTCCGCGACTGGAAGCATGACACTCGAGCTTAAATACTACATGCGATTTTTTAAGAGTATTGCTGGGGAGCTACACAGAACAAATGAAATTGAAAGACTTCAAACAGTCGTTCCTGTCGGCATAGCATCATATTAACTCGCCAAATTTTGAAGATTTGTATTTCCATATCTCATTGGGGCCGAGGAGGTGTAGCGGCAGTGACATACTATCAAACATGTGGGGCCGAGGAGGTGTAGCGGCAGTGACATACTATCAAACATGCTTGGTTCGTGGTTCACCGAAAGTCATTGTATAGGTCACACACGCACTCAGAATACCATTATAATTCTGATCGGAGTCAAATGGGAAGGGGGGGGGGCATCTCAAGAATGACGAGATTGTTCACACCAAAGGGAACCCGTTGAGTTCTGCTTAGGTTCCCGATCACGCGATTATTCCCAAGTATCGGTTGTGTGGCATGAAACTTATTTGAAAGAGAGCAACTGTTTCTTCACTATTTCTGAAGCCTTGTGCTCCTGTGCTTATGCTAAGCACTACTCAAAGTAGAACACCGAAAAAGACATCCTAGAAAGACTACGTGCTTTGTCAAAAAACTGGGAACCGATCGTTTTAATATTTAACAGTAATATAATTCATGTATCCTTGAAACCGATTCCGGGTAATCTGGGTGTGTGTGGCAGTACTCAAAGTGAAAGAGCCAGTAGCACCTTCAATTCCTATCATTCCCGTGAAAAATGGCAGAACGAAACAGAAACTCTGAGAACCTAACTGCTCGTTTTTGGATGTGCAAAACCTTGCATAATGAACTTTGTTGTTGGGTAGTTTTTCACTCTTTCGGCCCTCATTTCCTAACGGTGAATCTGCCTCTATTCCAATGTAAAGTTATGGGTCAACACTTATGAATTGTTTCATTTCGAATGGTCTTCGAGCACGACGTTTAAACATCTTCCCCTACTATATTATACGCAATACCCTTTTCGAAGGATATGTAGATAGAAAATGGTGTACTTTGTTGTGCAAGATTCTTCTTGCTGATCCGCCTCTAGTTGGAAAATAGACGTGTTAAATGTAATAACGCAGAGCACTATATTTATACAACACATGGATAGAACGTTTTAATGTCATTCTCAGTTTTCCATTATAAGAGATTTGAAAACAAATAACATGTGCTCTCGATAATTCAAATTTTGCGCCCTCTCCAGTGTTTTCAGCCGCTTTTTGGCTAGAGCTGTAGGCCCTACAATTCAATGATTTGAAAAAAATGAATATTTCATGTGAATGAAGAACGACTACCTTATTGTTTCCTGGCTTCCCATTATTCCCTCGCTTTCCTTGTCCGTTCGTTTTACCATTTTTACCATTACCGTCTTCATCATCTTCTGAGACTATAGGTGTTGCTGTTGCAGTTTTGGGATGTCGTATTTCCCTAGTCGACTTTCTTTCTCCTGATATTTCCGCATCCTTGACTACTTCGTGTTCAACTGCCATGGTCCCAGCTAGTGCACTGCTGGCTGCAGTCACGTCGCTTATCGTCCCCTTTTCAGACGTGATACGGCCATTTTTTACTTCTTCGTGTTCAGCAGCGGTAGCATTTACCCCGGAAGTACTTGCTTTTCTGATATCCTCTGAGATAGCTTTTTCTACTTCGCCAGCTTTGGCCTCTCTGACTACTGCTGCACTGGTAGCGGCAGGTTGTGCCGCAGCAGTTTCAGCATTAGCAGAGTCCCTCAATGAGCCTTGGAGAGAACCTATTTCACTTCCCATCACTTCTTGTGCCCTTGCAGCTGTAGGCTCTGCTACAGCAGTGCCTGCTTGAGCAAAGTCCCTGTCTGAACCTTCAAGTTTGCCTTCTCTCACTTCTTGGGTTTTTGCACCTATAGCCTCTGCTGCAGCCGTACCTTTTTGGGCAGCCAACATTCCCTGCAATGACGCATTAAGAGCTTAATTGTTTATAAGTTGATTTTATTGTATAGTTTTAGCTCTTTTATTTATCTTTATGCTCCAATTAATCAAGATCTTAATTGCAAAACTTGGGGAAGGAAGGTGCTGGGAGTGTAAGCTACTTGTTAGTACGTCAGATCCCTGAGGCATAAAATAATTGCCGATTCTGCTCAGTTGTGCTTGAAAAGAATCATTGCTAGTTTAGATACTCGATTCTTATGTCCAACTACATAGAAGTGGCCCCGCGATGGCGTCGGAGAGAAAGAGATAAAAGAAAAACCATCTTGTGGGACTCCCTATAATCGTGCCAGCGATGTATTGAATATAACTTCCTGTGAAGCTTCGAAATCGGAACGGATTACCCTAGCAAAGGGATGAGAACATTTAGGCATTTCGCATGTTCACCGTGAGAGAGCTTGGACAGGAAGTATATATTGGAAATCTAATTGTGCGATACCGGAAAGACGCAGGCCTTAAGGAGAAGGTCATATCGTTTTCACTAGTAATTTCGGCATGATNAACCATCTTGTGGGACTCCCTATAATCGTGCCAGCGATGTATTGAATATAACTTCCTGTGAAGCTTCGAAATCGGAACGGATTACCCTAGCAAAGGGATGAGAACATATAGGCATTTCGCATGTTCACCGTGAGAGAGCTTGGACAGGAATATATATTGAAAATCTCATTGTGCGATGCCGGAAAGACGCAGGCCTTAAGGAGAAGGTCATGACGTTTTAACTAGTAATTTCTGCATGATACACAAGTGATGATGACTTGGTCTTTTCTCGCTGCTGTAGAGTTTCATGAGGGATCAAAGAGTCATTGTAGAGAATTCATAAAGAGCTCCCTTAGTAGACAGAAACGAGGGCAATATGTACCTTGAATTTTAGTCCAGTGAAGTTTATACCTCAACGTCAGACATCTATCTTCGAAAGCTCCTAAGGTGACACCTTAGCATGGAATACTGCGAGGTGCAGGCAAATACAAACCGATATCCGAACTTGCGAAACTGTGCAAAGAAGCCGAGTATCCACTTGAGGGCGAATGCCAGGGAACTCAGCGTAGTGTAAAGATCGTTTTGGTGTTTAATCTGATCAAAACAATGCCCCTAAAAAGTAGAAATGCCAGTTCTGCTGCCTGCCCATCCTGCGTCTACTTTGCCTTGGGAGCTTGAGCGAGCAGGATGGGCGTTCACACAGCATCCTCCATCGGCTATGAAAAGAACGATAGGGGAAGTTCAATCACTCAAGCAATTGCCGTGTACAAAAATCCAGGCTTCGAAGATCAGGGGCAATGCCTCACACGTCAAGCAGTTATGGAACAAGTTTACCGAGCAAATCGTACAGTTTGTGGTGGCTATTAGTTGAGATCGGTTGGCTAGTACATTCTTTGAGACCTCAGATGAACACAGGGGCGGTCGCTTCCCAATGATTAGATCTCTTAGCAAAAGTTTATTGAGAAATGATCAGCTGAACGCCAAGTAATGGTAGAGCATTACCTGTACCAAAGAAAACTCTATCAAAACAGCAGCTTTAACGAAGAAAACTTACACTTGCTTCAGCCGTTTCATCTGCTCTCCTGACAGGCGACTTACTTTCCTCAATGCCGTCGCTTCGAGGTCTAGAAGTTTGAAAAATAACATCGCCTGGCATTTATGAATCAAGCACCATCCTCTGAGCTATTGAGTCGAACTCCTATGCATACTTGTTTACGTTTACTGTGTTTACTGTGTTTATATAAGAAGAGAAGTTTTTAGTATTTCAATTGTTGGTGTAAATATATCATTACCGCGAATAGTGTGTGTGTTTGTGAATGGGATGCCGATTCACCCTTGGCTATATGATGCCCAGTTCTTAGTAAATCAAGAAAACCAAAAAAATTCTAGATCAAAAGGGTTGTAAAAGTAATTGTGTGAATAAAAAAACTAGTCCTAAAGGCATGGACGATTTCGTGTATGCTGATGCTGCATCTAGTTCAAAGATCTATTGTACTATTACTCCATTTACAATTTTAATTTGAAGTCACAGTTTATGATAAAAATGGTTTCTGTGATTTCCTCTTAGGATGAGGTCCCCCAGTATACTGTATCGGGAGCTATTAGAGGGAAAACGGCCTAGAGAGGGAGTAATAAGGGATTGCACCGTGTGTATCCTAGAACGAGTTCCATCTGCATTATAGAGGCTGCACAGAGGTCGGTTGGCGATCCAAGGGGGAACCCATGTCTTAAGATCAAACAACTTGTCATGACAGTGAAAGCAGTTTTGTACAGTTCTTGTTCGATGTAGACAGCCCTTTGTGCAATTGCAAAAACTGTAATCTCGCCCGAATACTCTTCCATGTTATTTCCGTTATGGTAACCTTTTCCAAAATCTATTTTCCCTATTTTCAAGGAGATCCACATTTTTCTCGAAATCAGTGGAATCTCTCGCTTTCTTCACTACGATGAACTATTTCCAACCTCCTACTTCCTCTTTTCGAATAAAAACGAGTACTTCAAAATTTTTGTGAACTGAGCCTCTAATAATACAATTTTAATATTTGCTATAAAATCCTAAGGTTCTCATTCGCAAGTCTCCCCTGGACATTAGCTGAACTCATTAGGGCAGGGGCGCTTATTTTCTAGGAGTTGAAGCAGTGCCCGCCAGCCCGTCTCTATTCCAGCGACAGAACATTATTACGGAGCAAGCAGCCTTTCCTACATAATTTGTACTGAAGTTGTGCAGAACCCTGATTGTTCAGCACCTGAAACGAATGAAGAGCAAAATTCTACGAGTGCGAAGGGTTGTCCAGTCAGGACGACTACCGAATGGATCCTGTAAGAAAGGCAACGCGAATGCTATAATCAGGCGCCTTAATGAACTCAAGGGGCAAAAGAACGTAGTGCGGTTGGGCTAGGATGGTTGACCTGCTTACATAGATTTGCAGGAGGTTGTGTATTGGCAAGTGGCGCACTATCTCACACGCACGCCAGGGGTTTAAATCCCGGATCAATGCCCGCCTAAGCCAACCAGGCCTTCCATCCCTCCGAGGTCGGTCAGCTGGTACCATACTCGTCTGGGAGGATAAGCTGGGCACCTTGTATCACTCCGAGGTCGGCCACATACGCACTCATTACTCCACTACGATTCTGAATGGAAGCCGAGTGTGGGAGCGCATCCCTCAGATGGGATTGTTTAACGCCAAAAACTTTATCCTTATAGCAGCTCAGTGAAAAACCAGTTAATGACTCATTCTTAGCAAATATAACAATAAGGTTTGGGATTGCCTGAAAAGAAGCGAGCTTAGGTGAGCAGTGGATAGCTTCAGTAATACATATTACAGGAGCTCCGAGGTCTGGAAATTTTCATTCTAAACGTTGTCTGAGCCGAGGTAACGTGGCCTTCTGCGATAAAGTAGGTTTGTCCAGGATTTGCTCAAGAAAGGAACAGTAAGAATAGGAAGTGCAGCGGACTTTAGCAGTGTAACACCAATCGATATGGTCCACAAATACCTGTAATTTGAGTTTCCATCGATGTTGAGAGGATCCAGTGCCTCGTATCTCGTCTTTTTTTTTTT